TTTCGAAATAAATGTTTGTGTTAAATTTGGGAAGCTAAAATTTGACATACTTCAACAACTAATGCGTATATATAAGAAAACAATCGTTCCGTTGACATAATTTTCACACTCATGCTTCAATTTTCGGCTTATTTTTCTAAAATCTACCTTACGATGAATGCTTTCTGGGCCAATTTTAAATTCCTGGCCACTTGAGTGTGCAAATGTTTCGATTGAATCCTTTTTTAATCGTGGCGAAACTGGGGTGGTCTGTGGTCTAGCCGTACCCTACAACCCTCTAGTTAACACGCCGTATTGACCCGAGAATAGAGTAAAGAGAGGTGACAGAGGACAAGACCGTTTATTGGTGTCACGATAACAGACGTCTGATAACAGCGACCAATGAAAAGGAGATGGGTCATCGTCACCGTGACTCATTGGATTTTCGGTTGAACTCAATTAGCGCAATCTGCTAACAAAGATCTCACCGGAATTAGAACGCGCCTTAACACACTCAAGCCGGTATTACCTTTAAAAACAATTTCCGTCTGAGCATAACAGAGTCTTCGACGGTCCAATTTTATCTTTAAGAACTACGTTCGAACCCTGCCTATTTGCCGTTATTGACCAAAAACGACAGGATGATAAACTAATCAATTCATACCAGATATTTCGCAAATCCTCTTTCCAGAATTCTGCGTGTCTTAGAAACTCCGCCTCTCCTGCTAAAAGGTCTTAATGGCATTAAAGATCTAATGGCCATGCACGCTACCTAGACAGTCCAGAATTTTATGTTAGCTTAATCCGAAACAAAAGAACGTCGTCGTGCGTTGAAACCGTAGCCACTCCAAGCTGAAGTCATTTAATCTACGCAGTTATTTAGACCAACATCGTGCAGAATTGGCTTCTACATTTGCTGGTATTGTGTAATCGTGCCGCTTCGAAGTCTAATGGAATCAGATCATCATTCAAGTCATCTGCACACCACAGTCTTGTGAGACCTGATTGGTTATATGGGGTGATTTGATTGGAGAAATAAAGTGGTTGCAGCATGTGGTTTCAAACCCTGCAATATCCAACAAAGGCTTTCTACAAACAGTCAACTGAAAACAACGGTTCAGGTGAGGTTGAGGGCTGAAGTGGATTGGTTATTGGCTATGATCGATGCTCAAAAGTGTATGCAGTTTCTTAGGGTGAAACATGAAACGTATTTGGACAAGATTCCTACCAGAATCACACATTTGCTAGTCTAGATTGAGATCCTATTTCCTTCGTGTTAGAGGATGTTTTGCGTGGAGGCAATGCCATGCCAAGCCTAACAATATCTTCAGACATCCAGCTGACTAATCTTAAAAGCTTTAACGATTTCACCAGCAACGTCCTCGAATGTGGAGGCAGTTTCTAATAGGGACACGGGGTTAATCAACTAGTCCCTATTCACACTTGGCAGGCGCGTACGAACAGCCCCTGTCCATGTCCCACCTCTGTCTTTTTCCATTATCTACTTCAACCAACACCAACCATCACATTTGACATTAGCAGGAAATAAATTTGCGTACAATAATCGGTAGTCTTTGCATGCGTTATGCATTAAACATGTCGATGTATCGTTTACAAATAAGATAACCAGAACACGATTTTGCAGTGATTTCATTCTGCCAAATTCACGGCTTTACAGAGAAGAGTTTGTTTTAAAAGTGATCTGAAGATACAGAGTTGGTGTACTTGAAATTTATGATTTTTTTTCTTCAAATTGTGTTCTTGCGTGCACTTTGAAATGCCGCACATCAAGGACTGCAGGTCTGCCGAATCTTCATTGGACGAGATTTAGTGCTTCGCCAAAACAAGAAAAAAAGGTGACCTTTATCAACTTTCAGCTGAAATCGTGTCTTATTTGAACAAATCTCATCATTCATATTTGCTACGTATGAAAATCTGCCTGTGACATGGCTGATGGTTTCCCTGTCAGTTGAGCGATTTTGTGCTTGTGAACGGATTTGAGCGTGTCCATGTTCAAACCTGTGCAAGCTCCGACGTGTTCATGGCATCCGGGGAATTTCAGACACAAGGAATAGTGGAAGGGGTGTCTCGGATGAGGTCTTGACGCACGTGGATTAACACATCTATATGACACGCAGAAATCAAATGCTCTACCAATTGGTCACCGCAAGGTCACGACCCAGGGGACAGCCAATCACGATAGAGGTCATAAAAAACATACTTGGATTTTTGATTTTGGCCTTTAGTTCAGCGCATTCTTTAACTGCTGACGAACTGAATGTCATTCAAACTCTTTTTTTGGCAAACAAAATCGAAATTAAATGGAAGCCGAGGACGTTGATTTGGAGAAGCAGATAATAATATTGGTTTGTGTTGGTTTTTGCCTGAGAAAATATGATCATTATAGATACCAACTGCGGTGAACCTGATGTCAAATCTGGATCTTCGGGGATGCAAGGAGTAAAAATGGGAAGTAAATATGAAGGCGATTTTCTGACTGGCGTGGTATAGAAGAAAACTGGAATCTTATTGAATATTTCGAACCAATCATATCGTTTGAACACATTAGGAAATTTGTTAGTTCATTAGGAGACAAATGTAAGTTAATCCAGAGTCCAATTGCAACTTTCAAATAATCTTTTAAAAATTGTAAATTTTTCCATTTATAAAATGTCCAATTTTTCATTTTTTGGTAACTCAAAATACGAAAATTAAGTTACACACAGTGGAGTTTTAGATTTTGACTCTTTTCTTACCCTACCTTACACAAGAACGTTGCTTTAGATTGAAACACATAACGGTTTTGGCAATTGCTGCGTAAAATCGGTCGACAGCAATAAAAGTTATTTGGTCAGTTTCAGGTAGCGGGAAATTGGGGCTACGCATGTGAATCCTTCAATCAATATTCATTGATTTTTGGCTAATATACAATCACTTTAAAATTTCCTCATCAGTTTTACTGATAAATACTACAAGTTTTATGTAAAAATAGCTCATTTTAAGACCTTTTAACAAACAAAGAGAATCACACCGTAACCCTTTCACAACCAATCAAATCACAGGAACGAAATTTGTACAAGCATATTTTTGTGGTCGCGGAAATATCTGTTGAGCTTTACCTACCAAAAAAATTTCCCGTTTTTAAAATACCTTGTTACTATTTAGAAGTAAATTTAACCTATTAAAGTGACTTTACGATTAATTTAACCAAAAACAGCAGCTATTAATTTCCTTTAAAATGTGAGCTAATCCTCACATTTTACGTAAACTGTAAATTTTGCAGTTTACGTAGAGATTTCATTATTTTACTTAACTACTGTCACACAAAAAAGTGCCTTGCGTCATATTTACTTTAAAAGTCAAGGTCAGAAAAATTAAGATCTTAAAACATTCGGTAAATGCGAGGTAGACTTCCACCTCTATCGAAATTGCGAACTAATCCCAAAAAAGCCAACTTGTTTCTTGCAGTGAATTTATGGGCAGATTTCAAACTGCAGTGTTGAGCAGAATTCGCCGTCAAAACACGTTGCTTTTATCATGTGACGTCTGGAGCAGCGGATTTCGCATTGTTTTAATGCGACCGAATTGCTTTTTACCGCCAAAAACGTGTTTTTTGTTCGCATACGAACACATTTTTGCATATAATGCTGCAGAATGCTTTACCAATTTGAAAATTTACCTAGAAAAACAACCATATATGCATTTAAGTTATAGTTTTGAAATGTAGCATTAGAATTTTCAAGCTGAACAACTAGTAGGAAGTATTAACAGGTTTTTACATCAGTAGAGCGAGCTCCCCATTAATGCACAGTTTCCTAAAATATTTTCCTTGCATTTTTCAACTCTATTTATACATATTTTAGCGTAACAAATTAATCCTCAAAGATGGTGAGCCTTTGCTTACTCATCAAGCCTGGAAAAAACAGCAATTATAAGGCCTATCCAAATTTTTCCTGAGAAACTATTTATGTTGTCCGTTGGATTGCATTTGGGAGATCACAGCCGTTGATAGTGGTCAAAACTACGGGGTTGATTTAAAACGTGAAGAGGTGTCGTTCTCAGCTGCTAATCAGATTTAATACGACAGTGAAATCTCACACGACATATTTGCTCAATGATTTAGTTGGAACCACAGAAACGGCGCAGCACGATTTACTTTCATTTGGCAACTGTCTGACGTCTTAACAAATAGTCCGGCAAATTTCTCATGTCACCTTTCTCAGCCATTAATTCTAATTATAAAAGGCACCCTAACTGATGGCGACTATTGTCTGATTTGATAAATTATTATTCCCCTCAATTCCTGTGAGATTAGGGTGAATTATGTTGCAGCTTGTGTCCTAACTAGGTAAACGTGAGCACAATTGCTGGCCATTGTGGCTCAGTCGGAGCGCGGTATTTAATTTCTCAAACATATTGCTGAGTGGACAAGGTCGAAAAATTCTGATCGTCTATTTGCTAGTTCTATTGACATGCGATCAGATCAGTTCATTGTTAGTCTAAATGCATGAGATACACTTACTAAAGTATATCCAATAAACGGAATATTATTTAAGAGGAAATCAATAAAAGGCTCAGACTGACACCAGTCCAACAACGAATTCGCACAAGGCCGATGCAACGTGATGAATTATCATTTTGCAACTGTTTTAAAAAAAACTTTTGCCGATTTAGAAACCTAAGTTCTTTTACGGTGGTACCCCCCGCAACTGCAAAAGTACTCATTTGGTAATTTCAGAGGTCTCTGTTTTAATCCGCTAACAGTGGAGCACACAAAAGCGGACCGTTTGTCAAAACCAGCTTTCAATTTTAATGGATGCAAAACCGCATTCATTTAGTGTACTTTTTGGAAAGATTTGAAACAAATCAAACTGCTAAATGTTCTTACAGGTAATCTGGAATTTTCTTGTAGGTTTTGCAATGCACAATGCTGTGAATTCACATGTTGAGAAAAAAATATGCATGTAGGTAATGATTCTCGTACTAATTTAGCCCAAAACTTGCACTGATAGCGCTTTAGAATGCTGTGTGACAGGATTCGACATCGTTTGCTCTGCTTTCTGTACGCGGCCGTGCTAAACATCGATACTCCGTCCGACCCCGTCAAGGTTCCATGTGACATCACAAATTCTGTGCTGTTATTCAGTCGTGTGCGTTATCAGGATCGTCTCAACCAAAATTATGCCAACGCCTAAGGACATCACACAAAATGTCCCGCTTTTTCCAGTGTAGCATTCGGCTTTACTCAGCCCTTCCGACTTCTCGGTAGTAGCGCCAAGTTAGTCAGTCAACAACTAGCTTCTGGACATCAGGTGGTCTGCTTTGATACCGTTCCGTGGCGATTTGGTAATTTTACGATTTTAAAGACGCTAGCATTTACGTTTGGTAGTCTACTGATTGAAACACAAGTATGGCCGAACAGTGTATCCGGTCGCGCCTTGCACATCCGGCAATGTCTTTTCGTCTACGAAGCGACCGTCTGGAAGGACAAGTCGTGGTGGTACTTTTTCGTTTTACATCCCTTCAATGTAAATCTTGACAAGTGTTCTGAAGAATGACACCGTGATTTAAGTTAAATTTGCCATCCGTGTATTTACTTCTTGCCTGCTAAAGTATAGTAGTTTTTGACAGCGTGACCAATGAAGGATGACATTTGATTTAATTATTGACCAGCTTCAAACATTTATTCCAAAAAATAAATATAAAAAAAAACACACACAACGTGACGCAGAATTTGCAACTTAAACTAAAATCTGAAAAAAAGGAAGCCGTCTATGTTGGCGTTTTGTGCAACTGTGTAGAAGATTAGGTTCTGCAGAATCCAAATTCAATCCACAGAAGATTTTGCGCTCTTTAATTCAAATTGGAGAATTTTGGCGCATTTTTAATCTATTTCAAAGTATCGAAACTTACGTGCACTCCTCTGGGCGTAAATATTCCCATTTCTAAGACAGAAGCCATTTAAAATTGAAAAATACCATTTAAACGTTTCACGAATTCGACCCACTGAGCCATTGGTCCCGTTGATTTTTTTTTATTTTTATCGTTCTTATAAAAACAAACTCAACACAGAGGGAAAACAGTTCTGGCTCTTTCAGCCATGACAGACAGCTGGCGTCCGCAGAAACCTTCCATCATGATGGACGTGAGGAAAGCCACATGCTTTAATTTTAAATTTAGGCCAGTGCAACGTGTTCTTGATATGTTTGTGGAAATCTGGCGCAAATATTGCGCGTGTTATTAACCAAAACAGCGACGTTTCTACGTGGTTTTGTTTCAGCTACTTACTTATTAATTTTTCTGTTTGGTTTCTTGCAACGAAAGTTTGGAGATATGCAGATTGATAACGCGCCTGTACCTCTTCAAGCAAAAAATTCCGTGAATTTTAGCGAATAACGAAGTCAGAAATTATAACAAATTTCTAGCGTTCAACTTAAATACTGTGCTATTTTGTACTTTTAGGAAAAGAAATTTTTAAAATTAAAACGCTAATCCCACGTCTACTCAATCTACCGCTGCATTTCGGGGACAAGAAATAATTCGAGTCGTGGGATTTGTGGAGGCGTCTAATTGTCTGATTGGTCCAATCAGAATTATTTCATTGGGCGAGGCATTTCCCTATAAATACAACCGAACGATGTCAAATTACACTCAGAAATTTTCGTCTACTTTTTCACAGAATGTCTACTTATCTCTACTTTTTGTGTAAGTAAAAGGTGACATTTATTTACGCACAAGACAATGTCCGTTTTTGTCCATTTGTGTTCATAAGAGAAATAATTTTAATTAAAATTAATAGGCAGACAAAGTTTTTAAAGTGACTTTCATTGGATTAAAACAAAAAATCTGATTTTAGTCATTTTGAAAGCTGATTTTATTGAATTTTTCCGTGAAAGATAATGTTTTCACTTACGCAAACCAAACGCTTGTGCCATTGTGTTAAAACTGCATATAATTTGCCAAATTTTTTATAAAAAGGATTATTTTTTTTTGAAGTTGTGCTTAGCGTCCTTCTTGTTACGACAAGCTCCGCGACCAGACTAGCACAGAACCCGTTCGAAGACGAAGACGTTGGCGACGACGAGCAGGAGGTCATGAAACGAGGCATCTTGAAAATGAGAATCGGTAAACGCAACTTCGACCAACTACCACTAGAGGGTCAGCCGTTTTCTTTTTCATAAAATATTTTTAAATAGTACTTTTTTAAATATTTCAACTACCTTTTCACATTAGGACCGTACAATTGCACTGATTACGGCCAATTTTTAAGAAACTGGGGAGACACCGAAAGCTACAAAAATACTCTAAATGAAAGACCAAAATTAGTTAGTTTTAATGTGAATTCTGTTGTATTTCTAAAATCGAAAATTCTATGCCACAAACAAAATAATCTCATTGTCTGTTTAACTGTGACCTTGACATTTATTAAAAGAAATTTAAAAAGATACAAAAATGAACCCCTAGACGTGACATAGTTTGTTGAGACCAAAAACGTGATTTTTTACCCTATTTGAGGAAAGCTTAAAAAAAATAAACCTCATGAAGAAATAATGTTTGAAAATAAATTCCTTGTTCTCACAGTCATAAAGCAACGTTTAATCAAGTTTTTTTCGAAAAAATCCAAGTTGCAGTAAATTATTTAGAAAAATTTGACATCAAAAGTTACCATTTACACGGATCAATTCTATCAGAATGCTAAATAATCATAATTTAATAAAACAGTAATTATTTTGTTAATGCAATTACCAGTTAGGTTAATATACTTAAGATTATCGTGCACAATTCAGTAAAATTGGAAGGGAATCTCATCAATATTACATCGTATTACTTAGTTATTATAAAAACAATATATCTGATATTATTAACTATTCGATTAGCTGGCTTGTGTGCAGTAATAATTTTTTGAGGTTTAAATTAACGCGAACTTTTAACTGCATCACACTTGACAATAATTGGACTATGAGCAAAGAGATCTGATTGCTCACTTAAAAAAAAATTATCATCCAAAGTACAGACATCGTAGGAAAAGTTTAGTTTAAAGAATCTATGTAAGACATATGAGCCGAAAATTAATCCTAAGACCTTAATAAGTTTAGTTGCACAAGATGGTTGTCTCTTCATAGGTATGTTAATTTGTGGATTTAAACTTACCTGGAATATGAGGAATAACGTCTTCATTTGTTAATTTAAGTATTCATCGTGTGTGTCACCAATTCTCCTGTTATCAAGGGAATAAAAGATAAAATCACATATTTTCGAAAACTCTGGGCATCAGCTGCTCCAAAAATGCAATAATGTGTGCTAAATATTATCATTATCACTTATGTTTATTTTTATAATTTAGAATATTTGCCTAATCTATAGGCAGCTTGCAAAAAACAAAAATTTACGACTTTTTTTTATAAAATGAAAAAGGCAGACAAACAACCTTGTAACGAACGTAATTTAATGGGTTTTGTGTTTTGTCAGACCATCGCATTGGTTATTTGCGGGAAAATCATTTCAAAAAATGATCGTTAGTGAGTTTATGTTTTATGCATTAAAAACTTCGGTGTTTTGCTTGTTCGCTGTCGCTGTCAACACAAATAGAACAAGCTCGGAGGTAGTAATAATCGTAAAAAAATACTTAATTACAACACGATGACTCAACATACAAAAACACTCTTTGTTACCTACCGCCTTGTTCAAAAGTCCATTGACTTTTATAAACAAATCGAGTCTTTTTGACTGTTAAATCTGATTATCCTGCTGTTTTTTACCTCGTGCACAAATGAAAACCCCCAAAAATTTTCCTAGGATTTCTTATTAAAGTAACCAATTTACATGGTTTTTCACCAAATCTGTTTTAATCAAGGTTGATTGTCCCCCAGTTTGTAAAAATTGAGTTTAAAAATTAGAAAGCGCTTCGTTTTGGAGTTCGGCGTTCACTCGATGCACACGGTGGACACGTTCCAAAAAATCAAAATGAGGTGACATGTTTAAAACTAGCATTACCTCCTGACACTCAAAATGTCAGGAGAAGATGACAAACATGCTGCTTCCCCACGTGCTTCAGTATCTCACGTCCTCCTTCACTCTTGTAGATGTTGACAGTCGGGGAGGAGACTACTACCCAAAAGTGCCACTCTATCCAGCAAGTGATTACTTCGTTGGCTATCGAAAACGCGGCGGAATCCGACGAATGCGAATGGGCTGATTGTTTGGGCTGCTTTCCGAGCACTTTACTTTCATGGTGTATGCTTACTGGCTTGGTTCTTACTGGTTATAATAATAATAATAAAGATAGGTTCAAGTTACTTCTCTGATCCGTCTTATTGGTTAATTTGACCACTTTTGTAACTTTACATTGATTCAAGCATATTTAGGTCTGCGTCAGTCTTGAGGCGTCATATTATCCAATCAAATGCAACTTTTTTTTTAAAAACCAATCAATAGCATTTTGTGGTGATTGACTGCCCTGCAGCACACATTTGTTTCGTGCGAATCAGGAGCCAAGCTTAGGTGTCAAGGTCACTCGTGTGTGAAAAATGCCTGGACACTTCCAATGTGTCTGCAAGAAAATTTAAATTAGCTTTTGAAAGCTAGAAATTAACGTCTAGACATCCAGCTCACACTTAATTTAATTGAAATCAACTATCACACGGATTTAACAGCGATCGCCAGTTCGATAACATTTTCATCGGACTGAATATTCATAGGGTATTTGTTTAAATTTTCTGTGGGATATAATTGAAGGTTATTCCGATTAAAATATTTTGAAATGTAGCATTTCGCTGAATGAAATGAGGAATAGGTGTTTTGAAACATTAAAACTGGACGATTGCACAAACACTGAATAGGTATTGAGGTTATAGCGAATACTTCAACGCCAATCAATTTTTTGTTTTGATAAAACTAGTGCAGCGTCGCCTTAGAAGAGCCAAATTAGTCATGTTGTCTAAGGTCATATAAGGAGGCTCTTATGAGATTTGCGCATCGATTACATGATAATTTAAACAACGTTTGCAAAAAGGAATCACCTTGAACAATTTCTTCTAAAACGAACAAACCGATTGGATATTAATGTTTACATCGTATACGCTTTCTAAACCCCACAAACTTTGTAAAAGAAAGTATTTTTTAAACATCTGTGCCTCAGGACATTTTCACTAATTTGAAAAGCTAAAACTGTTGGATACGTATGTTAGTTTTTACTCTGCCATACAGGCTACCTCAGAGACAGTATTGAAAAATCAGATTCCACAAATCAAAAATTATGCTTAGGAGGTTCAACGTGTTCCTCATGGAAACACAATTTTGCAATCCCGAGTATGCGTTTGTCAAAATCATTGCGTTAATTGCCAAACTGCGGCGTGCTTAACTACTTTAAGATAACGTCGAAATCGCAGCTTAGGCAATAAAGCACCTATCACTATCTCTAACACCGCAGGCACAAATTGGACCGGGGTCACGGCAGCAATTTTAAATCACACATTTCACTCAAAACCTTCATTTCACATCTTGCGAAGATACTCCGATTTGAGTGGGAGAGTGTTATTGTGAAAACATTCGTCGTGATTCAATGTAATATTCACATCCTGGTTTCTTGATATGTTCGTGTTAAACGAGACGCTCCGAATGTCGACTGACAGTCGGTGTAAACGCTTCTGTCTCATGGGCCCAGATGTTCACGTTTACAAAATTATTTCACTTACACAAAAGGCTTTGAAATCTGTGTCATCACGTTAGGACACAGTAACTCCTTTCAAAAGGCTTAATTTACACGAATTTAAATGTGGAACGCCCATTATCGTTGCTTTTACTAACAACGGAACTCAATATTTGAGTTGATGTACGAATAATAGTGGTTTATTTTTAAAATGCGCATCAACGCATTGTTGTAACCCTGTTTTCAAATATTGTCTACATTTTACAAAAATAACAACTGTCAGTTTCGTTAAGGTTTACAAGTCACGTGAAAATAACTTCTACCTTTTGTACAAATTTTTCGACAGTCGTGAATTCGTTTGACGATCTCAACTAGATTTCAAGTAGCATAAGACGGCGATTTCGGAAAACGCATTGTTTACAATCACCAAGATGTCCGTTATGGGAATGTCAAGTATGTGCATTCGAGGCAAGTAAATATCCCCATTCTGAAACCAGGCATGAGAGAGATTAACAAGAAATGCCGAGTTCTGTGGCACCTAGGAAAACAGTTTGCATGGCGTGTTCTTATTCGATGATTTCTTAACGGAATTACAATTCTTCACATTGCAACCTCATTGTACGAGAAAATCTCAACGAGAAAAACAGCCAGACAAATGCACCGAATGTGTTGTGTTACGTTTGCCCGTAGCAATAGAGAAGACCACTCAAATAACGGTACCAGATCCCTTGCTGAAGCTAGAACCGACCTTCCTAGGCTGATTCAGGAACAAGACCAGAGCTCGTGTAGAGAGCTTTATTCACGTCAGCCACGTGCAGAGTGTAGTACCGAACGTGAAACTAATTAAAGTCAGGGTTGACCTTGACCTGATAAAAAGCGTAGCAAAATAAATGTTAGTGAATTAATGTCAATAGCATCAGAAACCAATCTTGGAGAATCGTGGATCCCCAACAGTTGCTGGAATGGCTCCATCACTGTCGAGAGAATATTTGCTTCACTTCTCTCACATTCCTGGGGATGTCGTGGGTTAGGATTTAAAGAGAGACCTTGCTGTGGACGCCTCCCACCACAGGTCTGAACGTTTTGTGCAGTCTAAGGACACTGGTCTGACCCTGGCCCAGTACCAAGGACAATTAAGCGACCCAAACGAGGTATCTTCCCTCATTAGCGAAGTTCACTCTAGACGTGACAAATTGGAAATCTAAATTTTCGATTTATTTTGAAATAGAAACCCTCTAACTCAGTGCTTTTCGTGATTGGCCTGTAATTAAACAGTTGAAAGAATCGGCAAAAGTTAATAAAATCCGCGTATTATTCGCGTTGAATAATGGAAAACTTTGATTAATTTTATTCGTGTATACAGAAGATGGTTTAATCAGCGGTTTCTTTGCTAGCCATGTCAGCACAAACGTTATTGGCTACCGCGATTTGAATTACTGCCGACATATTGCCACGAGATGTGCTCAGGTGACTCATTAATCTGAGTCATCGGCCACTAGCGTGTTAAACTCTGGTTTGACCCACAGAAGTCTGCCTAGCCACAACAGGACGGCTGAAATGCATTTGAGTAGGTAGCTGGTTTGACTTGAAATTAGTACTTCTACCATGGGCATGTCTATCAGAGCAATTGAGAGAGGCGTTCCACTACACCGGGCAGGCAAACTGTGTTTTGTTCCAGCTAGAAAAAAATGACGCTCATTTTTTCTTCTTTTCTTGAGTGTAGCAGAAAAATGCTACAGTAGCACCTATCGCGTGAAGCATGTTTTCTGAATTGCCACCCAAAGACGATGGGTTGACGCCCCCGGGATAGTCTTTTCACATGAGCGCGGTTGCTGTGGCAATGCCGCGATGGAAAATTTCCCAAGCACTTGCGTTTGGCTATGTAAAAGGCAAATTTCGCACTAATCAAAATTGTTGTGAATCGTGTTTATTCACATCCCTTATTCCGGTCTCTCCACCTCCGACACAGGGTTCCCCTTTTTCAGCATGTCACCAGCCGCGCGGATCCTCAACTCCCCCTTTATTCACACTAATATTTATCCTGGAGCATCCCCACACCTAGGTCTCGATGGTATAAATACACACGCGCAAACCCCACACACGACACAACGACACCAACGAGGTTGAGCTCTGAAGTAAACGGTTGCGTCCACGTCCTCTCTGGTCTTTTTCTTCATCGCGGGTATCAGGGAAACGTAATCGGGCCAGGTTAAATTTCGTAGCCCCGGCGTGGCTCAAGACCAAATGCTGGCGGCCACAAAAAAATAAATCCGATTCTCTAAACTTCAAGATTCCGAATGAAAATGACAACTGATCTAAACTTCAGACACCAACGTGACATTGTTATGGCTTAAATTTTAGTGTTCACATGCGTTTCTAGTCACAGCTCGGATTTTTTGGAACTGAACCGCACTCATTCAGGTGCCTTAGCGTGTCTAGGGTCCTCATAATTAAATTTCGAAAATAGTTCTACCTGTGCAAATAAATTAGCCGGAAACTATTGGATTGGCCAATGCTTTGATCGCATTTCTGATAAGTGTTCTCCTATCAACTTCGATATGAAGCATTTAGACACCGTCAGCTGGGGAAATTCGCATGTCTAGACAAGATGTTAGTTTTTTTTATGGACTCTGAACAAACTCGCCAAGAGGCTAGGAGGTTTGGTGTTACAGTAATGAAATCAAAAGATTTCCGAAACATTACGGTGTTTTTTGCCCTCCTTCACGTTGAAAATTTGCTGTTAAAAGTAAGGACTTGGAACAAAATTGTCACCAACTTGTAGACGCTTGCTAGTTTATTGGTCAGTAAAATTGAAAACGAACCAATCAAAGCTGCCAGAGATTGGTTTCGCGCCACGCTGAATGTATGTGACCAAATAACCGTTAGTTTTTCTCTTAAGACACCAGACGATGGGTCGGCGATCTCGCCAAGAAATGTTAATTCAAATAATTTCAAGCATAATCGAGGAGAAGGGGTGAACCTTTTATCATTTCCAAATTATGATTCTTGCAGCACTGTAATGATGCCAATAATGACATATTTATTCGAAATTAATGACTAACCGGCCATTTTATGCTATAATTCACGCTGTTAATCATAAAGAGGACCCAACTTAAAATAATTTCGTAAGGCAAATTATACCTTTGCGCGTTGTTATTTTTAAGGCATTACTCATTCTGCGATTAAGCAAATTAACGTGCTGGTGTGCAGCCAAAGGGCTACTTTATGATATCAAATTTAAAAAAATAACCGCTAGAAAGGGGCAATTAGTAGTCAGGATTGATTCACAACCAAAAACGAGCTCTATTCTTCAATTTTTTTTAAAAAATAACCAACTTTATAGGACCAATCAAATGTCGTGGTCCTTGGAAGGTCATTGATGTCAGTGGTCATAAAATACCATGCCAGCCAGAAAAAAACACCATCAAAACAATGAGGCAAACTGTTATGTTCATCTTGTACATTGACGCAGGCATGCCATGTATCATTTACAATTTACATATAAAATAATAGACACGCCAAAATGTTTTCCCATATTTGGTCTGCCAAATATGTTATCCGCGCAGGAAGGTAAAAAGGAGCAATTTTTCTAATTTGTAGTCAGGTAAGTCTTCAGCCAGTTTTTTTGCTGTACACTTGTTTATTTACATTTTATGCTAAATGTTTTTTTTCATACATTTGTAGATTATGCCTTGCTTCCGTGTGATTTTGGTTAACACTCAATTCTCTGTCGAATCTTCTGTGATCGAACGCAAAGTAGGCCTGAACTGGCGTTGCAAAAGGTAGGCCGGAACATTGGAGATAACTGGAATAATGAGATTGGTAGAATCAATTTGATACTGTTGCTAACTATGCACACCATTCAAAATGCTGTCCCAGTTTACATTTTATCGATTTTTTATCAAAGCCATGGCAACGAATGCCACCAAGACTCACGCACAGCAGTCAAACAAATCAGGTTCTATTGCTGCCTGGCCTTTATCGCTTATGACGTCTCAAATTCTAATTTAATGATAAAAATATATTTGTGTTCCAAACCAACCTGGTTGCCGATTTAAATAATAATCTATCAAATATTTGGAAAGTAAATTAAACAGTCATATGCAACGCTCTCTTAGATATGAAACTTACTCTTAAAGGTCCAAAAACAATAATTTTCATGTATAATCTGGCTGTTTGCAAATGCTAGAGATTATTCGTGATTTTCCGCTATCCATAGACTTGATACATAGAACTAAATCATTTGCGTCATTTGTCTGTGGATTAAAAACTAGTCCTCGCATAAGATGTTAAAACTATTGCAATATTATTGCCAACCGACCATTTAAGAAATTTGTATTTAAAGTCAAACTAAACTTGATTACTCTAGTCAAAGTCACTTTCAGCTTCTAGTTAAAAATATTATATTTTCACTAGCTCGACTGAATTTTAACTGCCAGTCAGGCAACGGTGACATAAAAAACCTTGGTATAAACTTCAACTAAATGAGAACAAAAGTATTCTTAAATAAATTAAATCCGTAATGGTCAAATAAAGATAAGGATACGCTTAAAATATAAAATACCATTACAAGACTACTTAGTCTGTGAATAAGTAACCATGTTTTCCACTAATATCTGCATCCTGAAAATCCACAAACAGTATTACATTTGGGTCGATTTGCTGTAAAGGAACACTGTTATTTTCCATTCCTTTTAACTGTTTTTGATTAAATCATACACCCCTAGCATCTGTTCGCTTAGAGAAGAAATGAAAGATTTGGAAAGCGCAGATTCTCCAAACATCAGAATGACCTTGGCAGTAGTTTTGGCATGGGTGGTTTGATGGTAGATTCGGTGCTAGCAGTAGTTGTAGTAGTAGTAGTAGTATTGGAAGCAGTGGTATTAGTAGTTTGACGGTACTAGTGGTATTAGAAGTGGTAGTGGTGGTAGTTGTAGCAGTTAGTTAGGGGGGGTAGTAGTAATGGTGGGAGTAGTAGGAGTTGGCGGAAGTATTTGGTAGTGGTGGTTGCGGCGGCGGCGGCGGCAGCAGCTTTGGTGGTAGTAGTAGTAGTATGGGTAGAAGTGGTAGCGGAATGCTGGCCTTGTGTTGCCTCGGCGGTTTGACATGTTTGTTTCCTAAAGCACGCATTTGCGTTGTAGAAGGATGGAAATAGCAGACAGGAAGACGTGGGCGGAGCAGCAGCAGCAGCTGGTGAGGAAAATGGCCTTCTGCGCTTGCTTCGAAGGACTGCAACGTTTACGCGAACTGGCCGACTTTCGATTGATCATCATAGGTGCACATGGTTTGGCATTGCTGGTTGCTTAGACTCGAGATGGACGCGAAATCGCTGAACAGTCACCGACTGGTGTTGGCGGCTGAATTTGCCGAAATTGAGGACGATATCAGGATAAACGCACAATGGAGGAGACAGTGTGGAGTCGAGACGGAACGATTGAGGACAGGAGGAGGAGGAGGAGGAGAGTAGGATGAGATATATACGGGTCGGGAGAATGCTCACAGCAGCTTAGCATCGTGGAGGAGGTCGCGGTCGCGCGCGCCTGCACCGCCTACGCGTCACAATAGACGGTCCACGGTGAAAGTTGCTCGTCGCTTCCTGTTGGCGAAAAGTCTTCACTGTCCCACCTCCACCGCCACCACCACCATCACGTCATGGTGCATTGACTTTCTGAAGCCTCCTCCTAGGTGGGTATGCTTAGTTATGAAAACCTGGCAACGATGTTGAGAATTTGCCGTGGGGTGGGGAGCATCTGGTGGTGGTGACTTACAGATGCGACAATGAACTGCGCTGTCGCCAGTGCATGCGTACCAGTGATAACCGCGAGCTTCGAAGCTGTCATCTGCCGTTGTCGCGCGGACTTCCTCATCAGCTCGACTGAGCCACATCACCTGGCCATGCACTCTTCGCGTGGATGTCGCCTAGGTATGGGGAAGTTGATTAGACGTTGAAGCTGCACGCCATCTTCTCCTCCAGGCTGTCTTGACTCCGCACCCTCCGCAACAGCAGCAGAAGAAGAAGAAGAATAGAAACCTCAGGCTGACGTATTTCAGCGCCTTCTTTCAAAAGTCGACGAACTTAAACACGTCTCACGTGTTTATGTCGTCCTTGTTGATCTCTCTGCTTACACAGAATGCGAACTCGATCGCTGAGCAAGAATTATGGACAGACAGTGATATACACAGGTGCTGGCATCAGCACATCTGCTGCCATTCCCGACTATCGCGGCACCAACGGCCTCTAGCGCACACACAATGAAACCAATAAGCTCGGCATTTAGTTTGTAAGTGTGCGTGCTTGTGTTGATGGAAAGAAGAAGCCTCTGCGGTTGCGACTGCCTGAAGCCAGCTTTGCCAAGCCTACGTACACACACATGGCGATTGCTGAACTGGTTTCCAAGGGCTACGTACGTTTGTTTTCATCCTGATTCCCTGATATTTTGTCACATACTTGCTAGCAGAGAATGCAAACAGCACGCACCAAGACACTCTGAGCCTCGTTGGAAGTAGCTGGTGTAAAATTCCATTGGTGGAAGGGTTGTTAAAGCAACTACTAACACAATAGCTTCGGGATGCAAGTTCAATGAGCTGAAGGGCTACTAGATTATTGTCACTACGCGAATGCGTGTCTGATCAGGTTCGTAAAAATGAACACTTGGAGTTAGTATTTTGAAAGTAATGAAGCGCACGAGAGCGATGTTGAGGATTTGTTGCACTGTTTCGCTGCATTTGCCATCTGTCTGTGCTTCCAGGTGCGGTACGTGGTTTCGCAGAACGTAGATGGTCTGCACTTGCGTAGCGGACTGCCACGTGATAAACTCTCCGAACTACATGGCAATCTCTTCATTGAAGTGAGTTCATTTCCGTTAAGACAAGCGTTGCACTCGCCGTTTCCAGCTACCAGAAAATCCCACTTGACCTCTTGACCTCATTCCTTCTATGTGTGACTATTCCGTATCTGCATGCTTTATTCCTCACAGCCTCAAAATTGTCCATTTAAACTGACTCAGGTGAATGACTGGGATTTCGTGTTTCAGCCTGATCGCAGCGTTTCAGCCTAGCACTATGCTTTGTTTGGTTGAGAAATGGGTTCAATTAGCATGGACGTTTGCTTTACTTAAAAGAGGAAATTCTTACCTCAACTCCGCTTCGCGAGATCTGTGCACACGCAGCAGGTTCCAATCACATGCGTTATCTGGTGCAATCAGAGGTAGAAACGAATCATTCCCTTCATGCAACACGTTTATTCACTGGACCAGTCGTGGGCTGGTGTGGACTAGGTTAGTGTGGTTGGTATTGGCACTGGTCGTGAGTGTCGTTGATGTGCTCAAATGTCGTCCCATAGGCGATGGTGACTCACCACGACAACGATGACGACGATTGTGTTTGCTGCTTTACAGTGAATGCGGCGATGTTGGCGAATCGCCAGCATCCCTCATCCTCGTAATTGGTTCCTCTCTCTCCGTTCTTCGCAACTACGCGTTTCTGTGGCCTGTGGGACTGGGTCGGTGTGTTGGCGAGAATCCGCGGACCTCCAGAAAGCGCACCAGACGAGTCGCCAAATCGGCGTCTCGCGACGACTCACACACCGACGGTGATGGACGGTGTCATGAACGCCTCGACATTGTCCAGATTTCATTCTGCAACTAGGATAATTCTGGAAACCAGTTCAGCAATCGCCATTTGTGTACGTAGGCTTGGCAAAGCTGGCTTCAGGCAGTTGCAAACGCAGAGGCTTCTTCTTTCCATCTACACAAGCACGCACACTTACAAACTAAATACCTACCTTACTGGTTGCATTGTGGGTGCGCCAGAGGCCGTTGGTGCCGAGGTAGTCGGGAATGGCAGCAGATGTGCTGATACCAGCACCTGTGGTTACAAAATTACAAAATTTGCAGGAAAGGATGAAAAACGCACCAGCTATGTGACTGCGACAAGTAAATATGACCGCCTCTGTAAAGTGCTAATTCTTGAGCGCATGATTAGTTTTGACATCGAGTAATTGAATCGTAATCATGCTTAATGTATGACGCATGACATGACTGCCGTCCAGTTTACTCAAATTCATTTCCAGCTAATATCAGAGGCGACGGTTGGTGTTGTGCACGACGGTGAAGTTTGAAGTCGATAATGGAAAACCAGAGGCAGAGAAGAGGTATGATCATATGCAATCCTCAAATTTGGCACTCCGTGCTTTTTATACGTGTCTGCCAAGTTTGGTAGCAACAAGCAGAGAAACCGCGTGCTAAGCTTCTCAATCGAATTTGTGAGGTTTACGTCACAACTGAAGAACTCCTGTCAGGTAGGAAGCTAGTGAAATCCGTCTTGAACATACGCAAGGCTTATCTAAATCTGATTGCAGCATGACTGATGGTAGTGCTGTGTGTCGGGTCATCCGTGAACTGTCTTTAGTCTGTAAATTTTGATTACGTGGCTTGAACATGTGGCACTTCTAGGATGTCTGCAGCCGTTCTAGTGGAAGCTGATGTTTAAATTGTTCACGCCTAGAATGATTATCAAAATCTTTCTACAACATCACTTTTGGTAGTCTTGCTTGTTGAGGCACCACCAAATGCCTGGTGTCGTCGCTATGGTTTTATCTTTAGCGTTGGACTAAGCAGCGTTATCATCATCTTCAGCAGCTGCTTAATTGACTATCCTAGCAACCTAGTGCGATCATCTGACAATTCTAGGAACAAAGGAGGTACTTCAATGGACAGTGCTGCCAACCGCGGAGAAGCACGTGATTCGGTAATGATTTCAAGATCAGTTTGAACCCACACCACATCCATAGTACCTAATAGAGCTCTGTTTCCCAAGTGCCATCAGATTTGGGTTGCTGCGGTTTCAACGTACAGCGATATCCTTTTGTTTCGGATTATGCCAACATCAAATTCTGGACTGTCTGGCTAGCGTGCATGGCCGTTAGACCTTTAATGCGCGTTTTCACACAGCCCATAACCTCGCAGAGTTCTTTGAAAATCCGACTCTCGAAATTTGATCCCTGATCGGAATGGATAGATTCAGGGACCCCGAAGCGACATACCCAGTGGTACATGACTGCGTCAGCAATGTTGCGCTTTTCTTGGTTGGGCATGGGGGCTGCTTCCACCCATTTGGAAAAGAAGTCGACCATGACCAGGAGATACCTATTCCCCAGACGGGATTGTGCGAATGGCCCATGATGCCGATGCTTACTCTTTGGTTGACATAGCCCGAGAGAATTGGCTGGAACGGGGCTGTGGGGCGATTATTGAGGTCTTTTAATGGAAGGCACGTAGGACAGGAAGAGCAGACGAGGCGCTCTTCACGGCGTAAATCTGGCGACCAGAAGCGTTGACGTGCTGCCTTATCGAGTTTGCCTTGTCCGGGGTGACTCAGTTGACTGTGGAGCTCTGTGAGGACCGCTCGGGCGGCTGACTGGGGAACCACTAGGCGGATGGGAGAGTGGGAATCATATGGAAAGCATAGGACATTATCGCGTAGGTGAAGGTTGCCCCAGAAGGACCACAGGGAATGGGCTCCTTGCGAATGGCCGCTCATTTCTTTAGCAGTGGGCTTGCGTTGGCCATGGAGTTG